AATAACAATGTAGAAAAAAAAAAACAAGAAAAAAGTGAAAGGAAAAATAGTTTTAGGGTAAATTTCATCTCCATCTGAAAGAAAATTACTCTGATTTTGTTTAAGCAAGAGAAGAATTCGGCTGAGAAATTAGCAGGCAGCAAAATCAGGGAGTCACTTCCCACTGCAAAGCAAAAGAAAACAAGGAGCAAGGGGGTGGTCCTGGATAGCTGTAGACAATCAGACATACGGGCTGACAGCTCCTTGCCTTAGAAACTCCGTGGTGTTTAAATTAACAATTGGCCACAAGCCAAACACAGGAACACTCAAAAGTCTGGAAGGGTGTACTGTAATTGGTACCATAGCAAAACACAATAATAAATTAGGAGGATTCAAGAAGCCTTCACATTAGACTCTAAGAAGATTTAAGATTTGTACCAAGAAACAGGCTTCTACATCTCTGCTATAGCAGTAGTTTAGCATCTAAAGAATACCTGCCTAAAAATCAAAATATCTAAATCCTACCCTTTGAGTCAACTTCACTAACACTCAACTTGACTACCTTAAAGCTACCTAATACTCGCAGCACCTCAGCAGAGCAGAGGTGGAGGGCATAGTTTTATGCACTGAGATCCTAGAATAAAAGAAGCCCTGTGTGTCAGAGTAATCCTATTTCTGACATCAGATTATTTAATACTTAATTTCGTAAATCACTTTACAATCATATTTATTATTCCCTACAATTCTCTAAAGCAGGTTATTTTTTTTCAATCCTGTTTCATAAGTGAGGAAACTACAGATCATGAAGATTAAGTTATTTACCAAAACAAGTTAATGGTAGACCAAGGATTATGACCCTCAGACTGTCACATTGATTATACTCCTCTCTATTCTAAAGCTACACTTTAAGCTTTTACTCAAAGAAAAAGGAAAAGCAAAAACACAATCATATGCTCGTTATTAAATGTTTCAGAAACAACAGCTTTGCTTCATCACTACAAAGGCTCCTGGTCCACTTCTGAAATTCTTAGTGACCTAGAGGTGTATGAAATTTGAACTTTCCAAGAAGAATCTAGCTGGTGCTGAACAACCCAGTACTGTTTTCAGGTGATAAATAACCTTGTTCTCTTTTTAAACACCTGCGATTGACATGTCGACAGGCTGTTAACAATGAACAAAGACCATATTTTTCTGAAACTCATCATCTTCCTAACCTTTTCATTGAAAAAAAATATATATATGTAGTTCATGTACCAGGTTTTAGGTTTTAGTGAAGGTAAAATCTTTGTTCAGATTAGGCTCAGAAAAAGAAGGGGCTCCCTTTCATTCAACAAACATGCACAAGACACCATCCCACTGTAAGCATCAATTTCAGGAAGAATAAAACACAGCCTCGGCCCTGAAAGGACTTTCTGAACACCTTTAAAGTGCCATCCTTTAATATACATTATTTTAATTAATCCTATTAGCTGTGTAATTTCATTCCCATTTTATTGGTAAGTTCATACAGCAGAGCTGGATTTGAATCCAGGATTACAGAGCAGGGCTCCTAAGTCCAAGTTATTTCCACTGATGAGTCTGAAGAAATCTAGAATCTAAAAGTGTGGGTGGGATGGAGAAGATATGACTCGATTCCCTTTTTTTGCTCCAACCGTGTTAGAAATATCCAACCATAAAGAGGCTTTCTAAGGAAGCCCTTTGAATTAACGTATCCACTTTTCCTTACCCGCCCGTGCCCCACCCCCAGCCATGCCAAAGGAGCAGCAAATCCTGCTGCCAGGTTGGAGGAGTTGGTGATCGTCACACCACATTCCTGGGTCTGGACACAGGCTGAAACTGCAACAGAGCTCCGCGCCTCGGAAAGAATAACAGCAGTTGAGATTTTTAAATCATGTGCCTCAGCATGCAGCCACACCAGTTGCCCTACTTCTCCTGCCTCCACCTTCCAAAGACGCTAGCAGCATAGCCGGCTCCTCCGGACTTTCGGTCGAGGCGGAGTGTCAAAACTCAGGCGCGCCCCAAACTCCGTCCCCATCCAAACCAAGCCGGTACACCCGGCCCGTGTGCCGCCCCCTGGCAAAGCCAGGCTGGCGGCGAAGGTGCAGGCCGTCCAGCTCGGCGGCCCAGCCCCCTCTCTCCACGCCGGAATCTGGCATTCCTTCGCTCAGCCCCTCCGCCGCCCGCCGTCGGCTCTCGCTCGACCCCAGGAAACGCGGAACCTGAAGGGCAAAACTGCCCACCTCCCTGCACCCTGGCGCCAGGAAAAAGGAGTTTTTGAGACTCGCTGCCGACCTCCCTCCGCCCAAGGAGGCGTGTGAGGGGTCCCGAGCCGCGGGGGGCAGAAGGCGGCGGGGAACCCCGGGGGCCAGCGGGGGCGCCACGGGAGGGGCCCCCGGCGATGTCCAAACCCGCGGGAGCCCAGCGAGTGGCCGAGCGCGGCCTTCCCGCACAGAGGAGGACCGAGGGGAGAGGGTCGGCCCCGGGCGCCGCGGACAGCGCCCCTCAGCCCGATACTCACCACGCGCGGGGGCCGCGCGCCACAGCCAGAAAGCCAGCAGCGCCCACAGCGGAGCGGGGCGCAGGGCGGGCATCTTCTCGGTCGCCTCCTCCGCCGCCGCCGCCGCCTGGGCAGATCCACATGGGGAGGGGGTCCCGACAGAGGAGCCCCACTATCTCGTCCCCTCCTCCTGCTTCAGAGGCTCAGGCCCTGGCGCCGCGCTCCGAAGCCCCGGCGCAGATGCCTGGACTGCCCCCGCCCTGGGTCTGCCGCTCCCCGGCCGCCGCCTCAGCAGCCGCCCGAAGTTTAGCTGAAACTTTCTCGGGTGTGCAGTGAAGCAGCCTCGTGTGTCCTTCCGCCTCCGCCGCCTCCTCCCACCGCAAGCCCCGCCCCCTGTCGCCGCGGCCCCGGCCCAGCCGCCTTGGGCACCCAGGGGTTTCCCGCAGGAAGAAGCGCCGGCCCGAGCTCCGCGCGGAGGGATCTACTACGAGTCATCGGCGCCGGCCGCATCCTTCTCCAGAAGCCCCGGGGGCCGCCGCGCCTTACTCGGTCAGCGATGCAGCGCTTCGGCGTGCGGAGGGAGCGTGGGGGCCGAGGGGGGTGGGGACGTGGGGG